AAAGGAAATGCATTCGACTGGTATATCGACCTAGAACACGAGTCCATTGATAGTTGGGAGCAACTCGAGAAGGAATTTCTCAGTCGTTTCTACCGTACTCGCCTAGCTGTAAGCATGATAAAGTTGACCGGCACTAAGCAAAGAAAGGATGAGGTGGATTACATAAATCGATGGAGATCATTGAGTTTGGATGCAAAGATCGTCTTTCTGAAATATCATCTATGGAAATGTGCATTCAGGGTATGCATTGGGGACTTCTATACATACTACAAGAAATCAAACCGCAAGCATTTGAGAAACTTGATACATGAGTGCATGACATGGAGTTGAGCATAGCGAGTAATGGAAAGACATCTCCTTTGTTGATCTGACAAAAGAAAGAAGTAATTCAGAAAAGGTATGACCTCAAAGACCCAAACTAAGGATACTATAGCGATGAAAGAAACTTCTGTAAAGGTCACCACCAAAAGTAAACTAAAAGAGGAGGAACCCTCACGTCAATATCCAAGAGAAGAGAGGCGACGTCCAACCTTGAAGGAGCTAGAGGCAAAGGTTTACCCATTTCTAGATGCAGATGTACCTATGATCCTTGAGGAATTGCTAACTAAGAAAGTTATCGATCTTTCTGAATCAAAGAGGCTCGAAGAGATCAATAAGGTTGGTGATCCTAGATTTTGCAGTTTCATCGCGTCCTTGGCCACCCGACAAGTAAATGTTTTATCTTGAAGAAGAAGATCATGATGTTGGTAAGTGAAGGAAAAATCATCATTAACCAAGATGAAACAGTGGAGGCAAATCATGCTAGTATAGCACCAAATCAAACGAAGTGTTCAATGTCGTTATCTATTCTAAACACCACCTTCTTGCAATTCGGAAGTTTAGCGCCTATTGCAATTGATGTTCCAAGGAAAAATCTTGAGGGTTCACTAGAGATCGATAACCGCAAAGAAAGTGAAGTTGACTATGGACTTAGGTTACTCGTAAGAAGCGGAGATATCAAGCAGTTCTCAGGATATGACTTTCTAAAACAAAAGCAACAAGGAATGATGTGAATCCACTACAACCATCAAAAAGCGTCAAGCCTTGTACTAGCTGAAATATTAATGATTCTTCATCGCAAAAGTTCAAAGGCCGATTACATTGGATGAATTCTTTCCTAAAAAATTCTTTTGTAGTAGTCAAATAGGTGCAACACATGTTATTTCAAGCACAGACGAAACAAAGGGAAACGAAGGTGACTAATTTGATAATAACACAAGAACATCAAGCTGATGACAAAGTTGCCCCATGTTGTGCTACAATATCCTTCACGGATGATGACTTGTTGTTAGGGTCTAAGCTACATAATAGGCCCTTGTTTGTTATAGGTTCTATTCGAGAACAACATCTTAAGCGCATACTAATCGATGGTGGTTCGGCAATCAATACCATGCCAAAAGTTAATCTGATCTCCATTGATGAATTGTCCAAAAGTAACCTAACGATCCAAGGTTTCAATCAGTGAGGACAACGATCCATAGGAAAGATTCGTATAGGATTGTCCATTGGCGATGTGAAATCAAACACTTTGATTCATGTCATAGATGCCAAAACATCATACAACTTTTTGCTCGGACGTCCTTGGATTCATGAAAATAGAGTTGTACAATCTACTTTGCATCAATGCTTGAACTATATGAAAGATAGTGAAGTCCTCAAAATAGATGCAGACATCAATCCTTTCATTAAGACGGAGTCATATTCTGCAGATGCAAAATTTTATTTAGATTCTAGAAAAGCAAATATAGAGGAACATGTAGAAGTCGACCTGATTGATTTTGAAGATAGTAAAGTTCTATGGGCCGCTATCAAGATGTCTAAGAAGAGAACATAAGAGGTTTCAATTAAGCTTTCACCACCTAAAGGATACTTGGAAACTAATATGGACGACGAGCAACCAATTTTTTGCTATATTCCATGTGAACGTCGAAAAAGAAGGTAACCACTACTAGAGGAATGCACTTAACAAGTCCAGCCACTGTGGAATGAACTTAGTCACATAACATTCCAGGATTTGAAGGATAAGATGATTGTCCCATTGCACAAGTCCCATGTATCGCTTTGGAGCCCTCCAAAGGCAATAGGCAAGTTGGTAAGATAAAAGGGAACTTTGATCAGAAGGTCTTCACATTGTTTGAAAAATCAGACTATGATTTCTCAAATCCTGCGAAGTTAGGAGAACTCAAGGATGAAGTAACTGGTGAAAATATACACGGGCTTACAAAGTCTCAAATGCAGCTGAGAAAGCAAGGATATCATATCACCACTCCTAAGTTTGGGTTAGGATTCAACTTGCCAAAGCCTCTTCGAATTTCGGCTAAAAGGGAAAGAAATAACGTCATCCCACTACACCGTTACAGAAAATACAAAGGAATCTAAGGAGGTTAAAAAACCACAACGAACTTTGGTGTTTCAACGCATTGGAATATTGACACCTCGTGTTTCTGCATTTGAAAGATTGGGCAGCAAGGATCTTGATTTTCATGCTCCAACAACCTCTTTTTCGATAATGTCAAAAATGTTGGTTTCCAATTTATCAGATATAGTATATTTGATCATATTATTGTCAAAAGTGTATGTAAATTTAAAGTTTAAATTATACACTTATATATATGTTTAAAACAACATAAGTATCCTTTTGACTAGTTTGCATTTTGTAGTTACAATTATTTATCAAGCAGAATTTATGTTTCATGTATCATGTTAAAGTTTGTTGTTCCTATAAAGTATCAAGTAGACAAACTTATAACTGTAGTTACACTTATGTATCAAGTACAACTTTGAATTTTTGTATCATGTTAGGCTATAAATTTTCTATTAAGTATCATTTTGACTGACTTACGATATGTTGTTAAAATTATGTATCAAGTTTATTTTTGCATTTTATGTATCATGTTAAGCTTGTTGGTTCTATTAAATATTAATATCACTTTTTTCAATTGTAGAATATGAATTATGTGGTTAAACACATTTCAAAACACTCTCTTAAGTTTGATTGTACTTACAATTCAAATATTTTAAGAGACTTAGAGTTATCAATGGGGGTTGAGGGTATCGAATAATCACCAATGTTCGATTCAACAACGTTTAGAGCATTAGCGTCTCTTTGTCCACCTTCAATACACATAATTGCATCACTGCTTGACTCAAAAATTTGTAACTCCTCTGTACTTTTATCATTTGTATCGATGCAAAGCGGATACATACTGAATCCAACCTCTTGCTTCTTTATTTCTATAAACAACTTCACACCCATATCATTCCTAATTATCATCGGAGAAGAATTGCCTTCTACAATATATCGGATAATAATATTTTTTTCAATTCATCAATATTTATTTCAGTAGCAATGGCTGAGATTAGATTCATATATGAAATATTTTCCCCAACCACTATCCCATCACTTTTGTATCAATTGTATGTAACCTCACTCTCCCATATTCCTGAATGCGTTAGTAATATCGTAATATTCATTACGAAAATTCACAAATTCACCTTCAAGGAAATAAGAATCTCGTTGCTGCAAAAAAAAATTGGGACGATCACTGATGAAAAATTATAATTTAATTTAGTGTTTTATATTGGATAAAACTGATGTTTGAAACACATAAGTTAATGCCTTTTTTATGGGACTAATAACTGTAGCGTATTAAAAGTAGGATTTAATTTAAATTTCAATTTTTAATCCCCCAAATCACGCAACAAACCGATAAAATGGCATACTATATTATGTATCAGACGGTTTTATTATGTATCCGAAACTTATTAAAAATAAGGGATTTTTTATAAGTTGAAAAAGAATAAGGATAGGAGGTAATTTATGTTTTACACTATGTAGTTTACGTAATTTTTACTTTTTTTTATTTAAAAGTAACTGTTGTAACAAAAAATCTTAAGCAGAAAGCATAAGAACTTTTAGGATTATATCTTTATACCGTTGAAGTCCCGTACCCATCTTACTATGTCTTTGGCATTACAGTTGTTTTCCACATTCTAATTGAATTTAGTGATAAATTTTGTGTAGCACTTATTTTTGTTTCTTATTTAATTTATATTTTATAATTTTTGTTAAATGATTGGTAATTGAAGAATTGCCTTGTCAATATGTGGGATTGGTATTGGTGTCATCAAGATGTGAATTTTTGGTTTATGAGAAAAAATATTTCCTAATTAATAAGCATGTCACTATAATTGTTTTTTTCCTATTTATTTTATTGACTTTTACAAATTGGCAATCTAATCAATAAATGAAGATTTAGATAATCTACTATATTTCTATTCTAAAGATGAAAATTAAGGCAATATTCACAAGTTATGCGTAATTGCACTTATCTCCATCTAGCTTTAAAATTATGTTGGAGTACACCCTAATGAAAATATTATTGCAATCACCTCTCTTTAGAATATGATTGATGGAAAAAGAAGAGTCAAATCTCTTAATATATAAAATTTCTTCTCAAACTAAAAAAAAAATAACATTGCAAAAAAAATTCAAAGTGATTGACAATTATTTATATGGAATACCAAAGCTTTATGTTTATTTTTGTTATTCAATTATATATAATGATTGCCTTAGTTTAGTATGATTTTCCGCTTATTTTAATATGAATAGTTTTCATAGACAAATTTATTTTTCTTAGAAATTGATAGAATATGTAACATTATGTATGATGATTTATATTATTAAGGATAATGTATATATTTTTTCAAAAATTCAACATTTTCGATATTTTATTTTAATGAAAAAAAAGAGAGAAGGTAACTTTATGTTATCAAACTATAAGGGGGATTTTTGTAAATAATAATTCTTGAACTACCTAGAGTAAATTCTAGAACCTGAAAGTCGAATGACGGAGGAAATCACTATAAATTTGAAGGTTTGGGTAGAACCTATATTCATTCTGAAGGTTTAAGTTTTTTTGTAAACATCAGTCAAGAAATTGTTGTGTTTTCCCGTCTTCATGGAATCAAAAAATTCCAATGTTGATTCAGCAGTTGCAAAAGATAAACGTGGTGAGGGTGGTAAAATCTCAAAAATGCAAAAAGCATTGTTCAAAAAAGCAAGCGACCTATCCATATTGTGTGGAATTCAGGTCGCCATCATAATTCTCTTCATTAACCGTCAACCAATTGTATTTGGAAAGCCTGATGCAGAATCGGTTATTAACCAGTTCATTGAGGCCAACCATCCAACCGCACCTCGATTTTATATGAAGATGAAAAAGAAGGAAGAAGAAAATAAGGAGAAAGGAAAATCCATTGAAGATGATATACAATCACAAGATTTTGAGTCTCCTTATTTGGGAAGTCTTTTAAAGTTGTACGAAGGGCTCACAGAATTTGAAAATCAATTGACTAAAGAGATTGATCTCACACAATTGAATCAAGAGATTGAGAAGCATGAAGATCCAAAATTAATGAATGTGGCTAGTTCTTCGACTTTACCAACTAATTTTAGTCCATAGACTGAAGTTGAATATATCATAAGTAATGAAATTATTAAGTAATAAATGTTCGATTGTTGTATCAACCTATCAATCATCTTGATTAATAGAACTTTATTATTCGAATGATGTTTTTTCATAGATTTATTATATATTTTATTACTTTTAGGGATGGGTGACATGATCACCAGGGGATTCAAATCCGTTTTGGAGAAGAAACCTAAAAACTAAAAGTTTGAAAACTTCTTATTGACTGATATAGCCTAGGCTAATTATCTTGTTCAGGGTATTATTTCTCTAGTGAAAAAAATTATCTTCTTTGTAAATATGCTTGATGTGAATAGTCTTATATTATATCCTAAATTTCTGAAAAGTCTTCATTTAGTAACTCTTATCTATGATACTGATATTAATGTGTTTCCTTCGATATGTTTCTATCTTCTAGAATCCATAGAATATGTCATCTCTTTTTTCTAATGCTTGATTAGCTAGGAGTCAAGTAGCTTATTTCTTTTTCTTAGAATATGCTAAATTTGTGGTTGTCTATTTTCTAAATTATCTGAATTTCTTGTATCAATGTTGCAATATTCTATGGGGGTTTTCAAACCCCTTCTATTACTTGCTTATAATGCGTAGAATCAATCTTATAGTTACCTCTATATATAGGGTTTTTTGTCAACATCTACATGCTTCTAAAATAGCTTTAGCTTTAGCTTTAGCCTCAATATGAGAAGTAGAATTTAGTTTTGCATAAGAAAGTTCCCCCGGAGATATATCATGATCAAAGTTTATATTCTAGGTGTGACCAACACTTAAGATCATAAATATACAAGGCGGACTTCGATAATGACATAGTATAATGAATAATTGAACATTCTATATAATGTAGGTGGAAGTTGAAACATAACTAGGTAAAGATATGCTTAAATTTTAGACATGAACTACAAATCCATGGAAGAATATTGAAAAACCAATGTTTTAATCTAACCATATAGCGACTAAAATGAAATAAGTATGTTGGGACATAGATCTCAACTATCTTCACAGTGAGTATTATCTGACGTAAAAACTAATGAATGATTACATTATGAAGTTACGTTATGAGGACTCATCAACTGTCACAATTCGAGTCTATATCATATCCGAGACATGGTACCTGGAATCACAAATGATCTCCAGCTAACTTTTGACATAACATATCTAAGCATATCATATGAAAAGTGAAGTGAAGTTGTAAACTAAAATCATAACTGAAATAGTTTTCAAGAACACGTCTATTAAAATTGAACGCTAATGTCCAAAAACCTCTAAACAATTAAATAAAATTATTTTTCGGGACAAGACTCCAACTTACCATTAAACAAGTTTGAACTAAGGATACAAATAACTAAACTATGTCTCCGAATGAGGATGACTCCTCAACTGCTAAACTATGAACCTCTACTATCTATTCAGGATTCTGAGAATGATCACTAGTATCTACATCATACGAAAAACATAGCATTTAAGAGGTATGCAATTTGTACGAAGAAGGTAGTGAGTATGAAAAAAATAACTAAATAATTGAATTTATATCTATATCATAAGTTGTGAGAAGGACCACAATGAATCTTTCAACTGTATATATATCAACAGAGGAAAAATTCAATTAAAGACCATAATTAAATATTTCTGAATAAAATGTATATTTAAGACCATTTTTTCTGAAATCATATTTGAAAGGATGCATATAAGAAAATCAACATAATCTGACATCATATACGTCACAAACCAAGCCTACATTCTGACATGACAAACACTCGAGAACCATTCCTGGTCCCTAAGCGAACCCTCATCGTGGCTGACTACAAGTGGAATGCTAACTTAAACATACAAAGTTTAAAACATAATAAAATTCATTGGAACTCAAATAATTAACTCAAAATATGATCGTATATTCAACTAGCCAAAACTAGGCAACTCAAGTTTTTCTTTTGGAACTCTACAATTTATCTATAAAGCCTCTAACTGACAAAGATGGAAGCCGGGAAAAGACCTACGACAGCTAAGAACTGATATAATTGAAAATACAAGTGGAACCCTCTGAAAGCGAGGAGGCTCACCATAGCTAACTCAAACTCCATGTGGTATCAACGAAACTCCCTTTGATGATCCTGAATACCTGTATTTACATCATGAAATGATGTAGGTCAAATGACTCAGTACGTGAAATGTATGAGCATGGATTATATCTATTTACACAAATACCTCGATGATTTCCACTCGTTAATACAGATAGTCCTATAAGCATATCATGCGTTGTATGGAAATAGGATTCCCAATAGTTGGAGAGGGGAATTTTAAAGCATAAAAATAGGTTAAAACTTGATGAAAAGAAAACAAACTTACCTCTTCAAAACTCACTCAGCTCAACTCAAGAATAAGATACTCTACTCAAAGATATGATACTTAAATGAAAGGTACTCAACTCATGATACTCAAGGATAAAGCAACTTAAAAGATATATATTTAAAGCTTTTAAAATAATAGATAACAACTCAATGTATTGAAGAATTCAATAATAACTCACTTTGTATGCAATGATACAATATAAACTCTGTTTGTATATAAAATACAAGTAAACTCTATGTATATAAGAATATAAATATCTCTGTTGAAATTTCTCTAACCGACAACCACCATTTATGAGCTATGTGATGATACAATGTATACCTTATGCTATCAGAGCCTTCCTATAACTTGCCAGGGATATAGAACCTCACTACTAAGTGGATCCACTAGTCTATGCTAAAAAGCACTAAAGAATCATCTAAAAAGCATGAACCTTTTCTACTCTCATTGGCTACATGGTTTATCGGGATCTGTGAGTTGTTTGAGATCTCCCCCATACCGGTGCTCAATGCTACTCAAAAAATGTAAGTAACTCATACGTTTAAAAATATAATTCTTACTATGGTTTGAGATAATTACTCAAAAACTAGACTGAAGGCTCTCTAGGAAATCAGTGTTTCTTCTCTTGCTTAAATATAAAAGTATATACTTTTTAATGAAAAACTATCTCAAAGGCTCTGTCGAAAATTAATATTTCCTTTATTCTTTAAATGTGAAAACATTTATTCTTTGAGAATCCATATTTTCCATATTCTCTTTTGAAGAAAAGAACTTCACTCTTTACTCAACTCAAAACTCAAATCTTAAAACAAGTTAAAAACATTTGCATAAGACTTTTTAAAATATGGTTCATGCCGAATTATGAATGCGAATGACTCAATTAAAGTTTTTCAATACCCATAGATAGAACTCAATACTTGCAACTCAAGAACTTCAATGATACTACTCATTTCAAGTGCTCAACTCAGAGGGTTCATGCAAAATTATGAGCATGAACTACTCAATTTATGGACTCAAATATACTTCTCGTCTCAAGACTGCTCGACTTATAACGTTCATGCGTAGCTATGGGCATGAACTACTCAACTCAAGGACCTTCATGGGTAACATGCAGTAGCCCGATGCTCAACTAAGGTATGAGAAAGAAGAGAATGATGGATTAAAAGATGAAAATATGATTGTTTTGAGCCTTTTATTAGTCAAGAAATTTGTTTTGCGTTGTATTGGAGGTAAAAAAAACCTTTTAATGTTTTCCCGTCGGCTAAATTCGTATCACTGTGTAAATTACAAAAAAGAGTCATATCTTTTTACTCAGAAATTGGATTGACGCAAAATTTGTGGCGTTGGAAAGTAGCTTAAAATACCTTCAACCTAATAGGTTATGACCCACATAACTCTTTATATTATAAGAGATATGCTCATTTGAAGTTGACCCAAGTAGAATCTTACATCAAAACTTCAAGAAAACCTCATGAACACTTATCAAGAACTCATAAAGAAATTAAATTGCTCAATATTTATGGATAGATTGAAAAAAAAACTAATTACTGGCGTGTGGGTGAACAAACTCAACACTATGTAAGCTTACATTCCTCAAAGAACAAGATTCTTCGTGAAATCTTGAATTACTTGAACAAACGCTTGAAACTTTAAACTTTTTCTCCTCTTGAATCTTCTCTCTAAACCCTAAATGATTTTGGGGATGAGTGAAACTAAGACTGGTCAACAGAACGGGACATATCGGTACCGTTCCGGTTCGTCCCGTTTCGATTGCCTACGGGACGGGACAGGATAATCTGAACTGGTACACAGAACGGGATGGAACCGTGATTTCGTACCGGTGTACCGATACCGGTTCATCCCGGTTTATCCCGATTCTGGTCCAGTCTGATTTCGATCCGGTTTACTTAATATATATTAATTTTGTTATATTTTATATAATTTATATTTATATTTTCTATAAATTATATTTTATATTTTATATTTTATATTTTATATTTTATATTGATATTTTTTAATTTTTGTAATTGTTTTATCCTTATTTCAATTTAATTTTTTTAAAATTACAAATTTTATTTATTTAATATTTACAAGACACGAGTTATAAATATAACTTATAAAATAAATATTAATGAATATAAGTAATAACTTATAAAGTATAAACTTCAAAAGATTTAAATTTTGAAAACTTTATTAGACTTTGTTTGCAAACTTAACCACAACAAAAAAAATATCTTTAAAATAAACTTAAGTAAAAAATTATAGTAAAAATTTAAAAACTATTAATTTATACTTAGAAAAAAATTATATTTTAATAATCCCAAAAAATATTGTCCCGTTTATCCAGTCCCGTTCTATCCCAGTCCATTCCGGTATATAGTGGAACGGGATGGAATTGATTATTCATCCCGGTACCAGTCAACATACCGATCAACAAGTTCCGTTTCGGTTCGGTACCAGTTCGTTCCGGTCCAGTGAACCGGTACCGGTCCGTTGACGAGTCTTAAGTGAAACTTATTCTAATCAGCTTAGACTCCTAAAATCATACTAAAAATGCTTAGATTCAATTTTTTAGCATGCTTAACCATACTATAATGAACAATATCATTTGAAGCCAAAAGTCACATAAA